TCCAAGTGTATCGCCCTTTGTTATCATGGTATATAAGCTCTTGAGTCCAGCCGCTTTCTTCGGGCTTTCACTTCTGTTCTGTGAAGCCCCTGTGTACTTGAAAGTCTTAACGTTAATAAAGACACATATACCTGTGGGCCTGATTCAGGAAGCAGGAGGCACACTGCTCCGATGTCTTTCCTCAGGCTTTTCTGGGTGCTCTTTCCCCTCAAAGTTTGAATTCCACTTAGCTCCCCAATCCGGACTTCGCATTTTATTCAGTGACTTGCTGTGTGGTGAGAGACAGCTCTGACGCTCTATCCTTTATTTTATCTGTGTGGTGAGCAGACCTCCAAACTTTGATTCTCTCAGGAATTCCGTTTTAGAATTCAAGGCAAAACCTATTTCTCTCTTGAGTACTCAGCTCTCGCCAGTCAGAAGCACTTGGCTTTCAGCCTGTTGAATCTGCTGTCAGTTAAAACTATTCTTTAAGTTCTTCAGTTGCCTTCTTTGTTCTGGATTCTTTGTGCCTTTGTCACAAATATCATTGATCCGGTTGGTGGGAAGCAAGCTCCAGACAACTAGAAATTTGTTCCTAATGAAGGAAAATATTTGCTTATTATTAAAAAAAAATACTCTTCTGGGGCACCTGGGTGGCTTAGTTGGTTAAGTGTCCAACTCCTGATTTTGGCTCAGGTCCTGATCTCGGGGTCCTGACTTCATACCCTGTGCTGGTGGCATGGAGCCTGCTTGAGATTCTCTCTCTGCCTCTCCTTCTGCCCCTCCCTCCCCTTGAAGTAAGTAAATGGACCTAAAAAAATACTTTCCTACGCTATGACCCTTAACAGAAATTCTGCATTTTGTTTTTTTAGGGGGGAGTATAATTTGCTGGGTGTTTTTGTTTTATTTTACACCTGGCTGCCTGTCACAGCATGGCATTTTTTTCTTCTCTAGTGTTTTCAAGTATGTTGTCTTTTTCTTTTCTTCAGAACATTCTAGAAGAAGCTTGAGGAGGAAATGTGTCAGTTTTTCTGGTAATGAATGCTGATCTCTGGCAGAAGACTATCAGGTGGGGCACAATTGCCCCAATCAGAACTAGAGGATTAGGGATTTGTCAGGTGATCACTACTGTCCAGTGAGCCTAACCACATCTTGCTGCCTTACTTTAGGCAGGTGACAAACGTTCACTTCACCTTGAATCATTAAATTATCCAATGAAATGACTGTTATCTACTTGTTACGTAGAGGCGGAGATTGGGTTCCAGGGGCCCCGTGAACTGTGAAGGTGACCCTAAGCACCACGGCCCTGAATCCAGGTAGACTTGCTTGGACTTACACCTCCTCTTGCCAGCCTGCCTGGATTCAAGGAAGGTGCCAGAATGATGCCTGAGAACTTACCCACCAAGGCGCAGGCTCCATGGGCACGGCCGGCCCTCACACATTCAGTTCTGTTCCTCCAAGGACTTGTCACAGTGCCCTGCCCCTCACTGGTGTCTGTATATGTCGAGCAAATGAATGAAGCCCGACCCCTATACGTGTCTTCATCCTTGAGTGATCATTCCGGCTTTTGGAAGAAGCATGTAAGCATTATATAGAAACATTGTGCTTACCTCTGCTTCAACCTACCGCTGGCAGAGCACTTAGAATTAATGACAAGAATTGTAAGGATCCTAAAAGCCATTTGCTTTTTTGAAATCTATTTGCAAGCTTCTGTCTGTAGTAAAATTTAGGTGCTTGAACAAAAATAACAGTATGTTACAGAGACTGTCGTCATGAACCCTCAAGCTTCCAGCGAAACAGCCCTTTTACTTCCGCAGGATAGGAGGGGGTCTCGGGACCTGGGGCAGTGCCGGGTCCCTCCCTCACGCAGTGTCACCATCATTATGCACTCGTCTCCCCTTGTCCAGCAGGGAGACCTTGCGTGACCTCCAGTGGACGCCTGTGACACTGCACAGTCCTGAAGGCTGCAGGTCCCGGGTGCTTCCTGTGCGTATATACCTGTGACACAGTTCAGCTGAGAAGTCAGGCACAGGAAGAGATTAACAGCAATGATGGAAAAGAACAGTTGAAACTATACACTCTAGTGAAAGTACATGAATGTGGTCTCTCTCTCTCTCTCAGAATATTGTACGGTAGCCACCCCTCCTGTGACGATGTGAGATGAGATGCCCACGTGGTGAGGGGAATGACGTAGGCCTGCAGCATGGCCGTTAAGCTACTGTAGAGACCCTCAGCCCTTATGTCAGCGGGAGGGCCATCTACTCCGGGCCACGCTTCACCACGGATAACTGAACACATATCCCGCACATCGGATCAGGTTCACAAGGAAACAGACTGACTTAGTGCTGCAGACTTTTCAATGCACCTCTTCTCAATGCCGTCACCAGATATTTTGCTCCTGTTTTGTGTTCACACACAAACGTGTACAAATGTGCCTTGACAAGTACCTTACGTCAGAATTCAGTCTATTGCTGTGTCTTCTTGGCCTGTAATCTCTTGTCAGATTTGCCAAGGCTAAAAAAATCAGCTGTCTGGTTTAAAGAGAAACTTTTAAAAAAGCTACAAACCTTAGCACGATCCTTAGAGTGTTTTCTTTCTGGATGAGGAGACTGTTGTGTTGTTCTTTTCAAAGTGCTTCAGGCCCTCAGTGAAGTGCCTGGGTACGGGGACGTTGGGAGTGGGGGCGAGGGCAGGCGCTCTGGTTTGGGTGTCCCGTCAGGAGGCTTCAAGTTTCACAGCACCAAAGTCCTCCTCAGTAAAGCAGGGATTCTCATTCTAGCGTAACTTTATCCCTACACTCTACACAGCGCACTGCCACCTCATCGCCCAAGCCCCAGACGAGAGCTAACCACACACTCTATGTGGCTCGGCGTCTCCTGGCACAGGGATATCTTAGCAGGCATCCCTCATTCTGTGACTCCCTGACCTGGTCCCCAGCTTCCCAGGTTGGAGAAGGATGTGCCTAAAACATATAGTAATATTTTCAAAGGAAATAGCATAGTATTTAAGAGCACACATTTTGGGGCCACTGGGTGGCTCGGTCGGTTAAGTCTCCGACTTCGGCTCAGGTCACAATCTCACGGTTCCTGTGAGTTTCGAGCCCCGCGTCGGGCTCTGTGCCGACAGATCAGATCCTGGATCCTCCTTCAGATTCTGTGTCTCCCTCTCTCTCTCTGCCCCTCCCCCACTCATTCTCTCTCTCTTTCTCTCTCAAATATAAATATTAAAATATTCTTTAAAAAAACAGACATGTTTTGGAATCTAACTGCTTGGTTTCAAATTCCGCTTCTATCTGTTCACTCTCACACCCCAGACAAACACTGGAGTGATGTTATCATTTGCACTAGTAGCAAACCATTACAGGTTAAATACCTCCGTAAGGACAGATACCTGTTTGAGGGCCTGCTGTTACTACTGACCTGTTTTCAGCTCTTCCCTAATAGCACCATTTTCATATAAGGGATCAAGGTATTCCTAATCAATCTACTGTGAAGTCGTTTTCTTTTCTCTTTTTTTGTCAGGTGGTTTTCTGACTTATATTTTATCTTACATTTCGTTGCTTCTGCATTTGCAATTAATTTGGCTTTAACTTTTACACTGACAGGCTTGGACAACTCGTGAGGAATATCATCCAGCCTACATAAACTTTCATTTCACCGATATTACTCCATTGAGAAGGCCCTAGGATTTATCTTTCTAGTTGTTCTGTTACTGTGCTGTTTTCCTCAGACCTACTAGGAGAGCCAGAGAATCCCCCTTTACTGACTTCACGGTACAGAGTGGTAACTCTTGCTTGCGTAGGAGTTCTCTGTGTAAAGTGGATAATGTAGTGGTTCTGTGGCCTGTTCCAGACAGTCTGGGAGGGGTTCTCTTATTTTAAGCTCACTCCTCATCCTAATCCTAGCGGCCATACCAAACAGTGCCTCTGGAACAGCTTAGTCTCTGTGCCTGCTTTTCCCTCCGTGTAAAACAGGAATGGTAATTGGGGCCCTTAATGAGGTTTTCAGGAGGCTAGATTACACGCATATATAAAAGATCATGGACCAGACCTTGGCGCTGTCACTGCTACTCTTACGACTGTTACTAGTATTCTGTTATATGTATATAATCTGTTTCGGTCTACCAGCTGCCCCGTGTCTTAGTTCTGGCTACTCTAATAGAATACTATGGGCAGTTTGGCTTAAACAGTAGATATTGATTTAACTCAGTTCTCAAGGCTAGAAGTCCCAGATCGGGGCGCCTGTGTGGTTGAGTTCTGGTGAAGGCCATCTTCCTGGTTTACAGCCAGCCATTTTCTCCGTGTATCTTCACATGATTGAAAGCGGGCTTGTTTTTCTTGCCGGGACACTAATCTCATGTCGGGACCTCCGTCCTTCTGACCTAATTACCTCCCAAGGACCACACTTCCTAATGCCATCTCATTGGAGGTTAGGTTTTCCATATATGATTTCAGGGAGGACACCAACATGGAGTTCTGTAATTTGGCCGACTTTTTGCTTTAGTACCTGAGCTGTTTCCTGTTCCTTCTGGGAGGGGAAAGGAAAGGAGAGAGTGCGTAAGGTGATCCCTCTCTGAGTCCTCCTCTATAGCTATCCCCTAATCTAGAGTGGAACAGTCTGCTTTTGGGCTTAGAAAGAAGGCAGGCCTGTGTTATAAAGAAATATGATTTAGCACACGTATTCAGCACTACCGTCTTTATTAGATGCCATTGACCTAGCAGAAAAGTCATTAACAAGGTCCTTGCCTAGTTTTATGTGGAGATACATTGCATAGGAATGTTTGCTTAATAACCATAGCTTCCTGAAGCAGAGAACTTGGCCCAACATCAGCAAGGAACATTCTTTAATGTTGTGTTACATTTCCTAGCATGGAACTAGAAAGAATACTGAAAAGAAAATCTATTTTGAATGGCTAAGATTTAATGAGAATCTGATTTTTTTTCTTTAATGCATTAGTTTTATAATCTAGTGGCATTATCAATCAATACTGGGTATATTAAACAAAGTGTTTTTCTTTTGAAGATATTCTGGAGTGTGTATAATAATATCCCTCCTGTGACTAGCCTGCCTTTGAGATGTAGTTATCACTTAATGAGAGGAGAGAGGCGACCACTTTGGTAAGTGTCTCACTTGTAATTTGAGGTTAAGGTGGGTGGAAAATGTCCGTGAACCTCATAAAATATTTACCTCATGCCAAATTGGAATGCCAAAGTCATTTTCTCCTGGTAATGATGGAGAGTAATTTTAGCTATTACTTAATTATGAAGGAAGCCGCTGCTCACTTTCTCCTTCACCTTGGGCTCCAGGCTGATGAGTAGATTTCTCAGTGTTCTCCACTGCACACCCCATTGTGGTCTCACCCAAAATAGGTCATGATTAGCACGCTGACGTGAGGGTGCAGCTCATTAATGACCTGGACAGTGGAATGAAAAAGCGTATAGGCTTTCGGGAGATGAGAGGAACAGATGGAGTATCCACGTTTGTTGTACGGTTGCCCTCAGAGACGTCTCTCAGGTGGAACACATAAAGAGTGTGTGGTCCAGGCCATGACCCAGGGTCTAGAGGAGGGTATCCTTCTTTAGTAGCTTGGTGTCATGATGAGGGTGGCAGACAATAAGCCAGTTTGCTTATGCTGGAGTCCTGGTTAGTAATAAATTCTTATATCATGTCCCTCAACTGTTCTAAGTTATTTACTCGTTAATCACATAGAAATATGTCTTGGCTCATTTGATAGCCAATGACAGAAGCCTAACATGGGCCCATGTGGGTGGGTGGGTGGGTGGATGGATGGATGGATGGATGGATAGATAGGTAGGTAGATAGATAGATAGATAGATAGATAGATAGATAGATAGATAGGATGGACAGAGAGATACCATTTGTTTTTGTCCCTGTAACTGAGCTGTCCACTGATAGGGCTGATTTCTGGCATATCTAGGTGCTCAAATGTTATTAGGAATCTGATGCTGTCCATCAGGTTGACTTGCTCTCCTCTGGGTTGGTTTCATTTTTAGGCACAGCCTCCCATTTGTGGTGCAAAATGGCATTCCCGAGCTCCAGGCTTACCCTCTACCTGTTTAATCACTGCCAACCTTCACCAGACCCAATAAGATGGCAGGGCTGGCTCTCATTGGCTCACCATGGGCCCTCTTTTACATCCCTGGCCAGTGACTGGGAATAGGAAGGGGCAATATTCTTCTAAGCAGACCTGGATCGTAAGCCCACTTTTGAGGCTAGGATGTGCGATCAACCCTATTGGAGTGGGTCTGATATAAAAGTAGGGGACAAGTAGCTCCTTAAACAAGAATTGGGGTACTCTTCCCTGGAGAGCAAGCATATACTAAACAGGAAAACACAGTAGATGCCCGCCATGGGGGCCAAGTGTCCCATTAGGCATACGGTACAGGGTTGGTATGAGAATCTGATAAGGCAGCGTCATGAATGTTGCCCTGAAACATAAAGGCGTTCACACATGGAAAGCCTCATATTAATTGGTCCATCCCCAGATAGTATAGGGAACCCTCTCTGCCTCCTTCAGGGTGAGAAATAGGTGTCCCATGACCTCCCTTGCCCTGGTGGCCACTGAATCCCACTTTCTTCCCTCCCTGTCTCCACCCTGTTCTTTTTTCTTTCATCTGCTTCCTTTGCCAGTGAAAGGACAGAGGGAGAATTTATTGAAGAATGTTCCATTATTTGTTGTCTTTAATGTCACCTGTTGTTGAACTAAATGCATGTAATCACTTAATCCTTGAGTCTAAATTTAAATGTTGGTCTCTGATCCAGGGAAGAGGAGAGTAATGCCAAGGGTGGCGTCTGGAAGATGAAAGTCCCCAAGGACAGCACGGTAAGTTTGTTCGGACCCTTTTCTAGAACCAGCTACAGTTGGGGTTGTTGTTGACTGTGTATGGTGAGCCCCTTGGGCTTTTTAGACAGTCCACCTGGTGGTGTCAGAATGGGACTGGGGGCGAGTAAGTCCATTCTGACCTTGGTGAGTTTCTGCCTCACAGTGTCACCTTGAAAATGCAGTATCGTGTTTCTCTGTAGGGACAATGTGGTAGTGAGACCGTGCCATAAATTCCGAAGGGCCCCATACTTAGAGACCTCACAGAAAGGTTGATGGTGGCTGTCATTTCCTCACCAGCCATAACTAAAGTGTGGAAGTTGGTAGATATAGTGAGAAGCTGAATCCCACCCACCAAAAGCCCTTCCTCCCCTGACGTTGGTGCGGAGATGGGATGCTTGGGAGGCTGTGCATCATGCCATTCTCTGGGGGTTTGTGAGAGGCTGTGCCCCACCTCACAGAGGGGCCGAGGAAAGCCTGGTTGGTGGGACACCGGTGTCTAGTGGCCAAGCCCCGGAAACTGGGATTTTCTAGGAATAGGCTCCAGTTCATCACACAGGCTGAAAATGAACATTCAAACCTATCCTTAAGCTTTGGGAAACCAAAACACGTCTTTGAAAATGGATGAAAGGGCAGAAGCTACCCATGTCACCTTTTCATGGTTTCTTTTATGTGGATAAGCTCAAAGGACTGCAGCGTCCCTAGAGACCGAGTCATTTCCCTAGAAGCACAAACCTAAAGATGTGACCAGATCTATGTGTGAATGATGTGAGTCGTCGTCAAGATGCGCAGCTCCAGGATTTGCCTGTTACTTGGCTTTCCTGAAAGATGTCAGCGGAGCCGACAACCAGGCCAGGCCTGTGAATCTCCCCTTGCCCCGCTTTCAAAGGAGAGAATGCAGAGATTGTCAGAGAATGAGAGAGCATAACTTGTGTTTCATTTCGGCAAGAACGCCTTCTCCTTCTCAGGCTCTTGATTTACTCTCACCAGGCCTGGAGTTCCAGTAGAAACAGTCGTGATGTCACCGTGTGGTGCACAGTAGCTGAGGGGCACACTGGCCCTTCCTCTCCTTAGCCTTGTGCAGTCACAGATAACAACACGTTCATCTCTGTACAAGTGTCCTCACCTCAAGAACTGCACGCCCTTTGAATCGTGAAGGAGTAGGCGTTCGGTGGGCCAGCCTTGGCTGACGTGCCAGTGAGGGCAGGGGACCTCCCCTTGCCTCTAGCTTCCTCGCGACACCCTCCCCTTCATCACAAATGGTGTAAGACACCGCCAATGCGACAGATGGAGCATGGAGAAGATGATTTCGAGAAGGGAGACAAGCAGAGCAAAAGGGAGCATCTAGGAGAGAGAAAATAAAATCCTTGACAGTGAAAGGTCTCAGTGCTGAATTGCTATCCTCTTGGTTAAAAATTCAGCCAGGCTGCTTTCAGCTTCTTAGCACATAGTCATAAACACTATTATTAATAGTTAATATGTAGCGAGCAGCTGGCGTAGAGCACACCTGCAGCTATTTGTGGAATGGATCTTAACTGTTAGGTTCTGTCGCTGCAGTCACAATGCTAAGCCCTTTGAATGCATTTGTTGACTAATTTCACGGTCACAACAGCCCCGGAAGGCCAGCCCGTTGTTATTCCCTGCTCACCTAAGGAAATTGAGGCTCCGGGTTTGGCGGGGGGTGGGGGAGAGGGTTCTAACTTTCCCAGTCACAGACTACGCAGCCTATAAGGATTCAGACCCAGCTCTGGGAGAGTTCAGGGCCTGTGAACTCTGGCAAGGGAGGCACATAGGACCAAGAACTTTTCAAAGGGGAATAACCAGAAACACTTAGAGGCGTCCAGTTCCCCGTGTGTGCACGCGGGCTGTTGACTGGATGGCCCTAGTACATCTTGGGTAGAAGGGGCTCCAGGTTTGTCACTTGCAGGAGGTGGGCAGGAACGCGTAGTGATCCTTCCAGGCAGATGCATACACACATCCAGTCCTCGCCCGAAGCACAGTCGGTCTCGACTGTGGCTGGAAATCTGCACACCTCTAGTGTTCACTAAACCACCAGTTTCCTGAAGGGCTCATCACTTGGGTAACTTTCTAAGTACTTTATAAAGCGCAAGAAAAACAGAGAGAAGGATGGGTTTGGGAGAGAAGGATTTTACTGGTAGCATTCAACTATAATCAGTTGATACACTTTGAAAGGTAAAGAAATCGGAACATTATACATTGGAAAGCATTCTTCCCCCGCCCCACCCCCCATTCTTTTGAACTTCATCTGGGTTTTACTAGAGATGGGCTTTGTGGCTTTGGACCCAAAGTTACCCGTAGAACAGTGCAGTTTATGTCACTCCTGGGACTCTTGACACGCGTGATATGGGGGTGTCTGCGGGCTCCGAATATGGGCATGAAAAGTGCATACGAAGCTGAAGAAAAATGTGACTTGTATAGCTCCTGAAGATACTTGTCTAAAAATATATATGTGTTGTTATTGGTTTTTTTTTTTTTTTTTGGTTTTGTTTGTTGTTTTTTATTCTTTTCCCACGCCAGTCCACAGTTTGGAAAGAATTGTTGTTAGCGACAATCGGGGAACAGTTCACAGACTGTGCTGCTGCAGGTAAAGAAGCCCATGCCGCCGGTCACCCGCTCACGTGTGCGTGCTTGGCTTGTGCTTGTCCCTCGGAGAGGTTTGTTTTTGTGTGTTTGGCTTTTGACACGTTTTGACATTTCCTTTGTATCTGTGAAGTTATTTGGGTTTTTTTCATGCGATCATGGCATTTCATGTTGCGCGTGTGTGTGTGCGCACATGTGCATCTTGACACATGTGTTATAGGTATATATATGTGTGTATATGCGTATATTTTTCCCCACATAGCTCATCTAAATAGTGTCCATGAACATCTGTCCAAAATAAATAGGAAGAAAAGAAAATTTGCTGTCGTTTAGCTCTTAACACAATTTGGGGGAGGTTTCTGGTTCCAGCAGTTCTTCTAGTGGGCAAAGTGCCTTTGATGTCTAGCGGAGTTCGTTGTGAGGCAGGCACAGCCCTTTCTGACCTCTTCAGTTTTTTCTTCCTTCCTCCTGTCCCTCTCTTAGTCTCCTGCTCGAAGAGACTCCCTAAGGCCAGGCAGGGATGTGCCCACCATTATTACAACTGAAGCTAAAATAGAAGGTCTTCACACATTTTCAAATACTGGGTGAATTTCTCCAAGCCTCCGTAAGCCCATTTTTATTTTGCCTTTTTTTTTTTTTTTTTTTTTAAATCATGAAACCACTTAAAGAGAATTGAATTGCTAGTTTTCAAGTTGTGTTTTCTTCCTGGCTAGTTCCTTCAGAACGCTTCTGAGGTTACATTGGGAATAACGCTTGACCTGTTCAGCTTTCCTTTAAAAAAAAAAGTTTTCTTAGGTAAATTAGTACTGGCTAATCAGTCTTCAGATGTCTTAGATGATACTCTTTGCCCCCACCTCCCCAGGCCACACCAGTTCTGTGTTAAGTTTCAGATTCATTGCCCTGCTGTCTCAATAATTCTCCTTTTGTTTTGCTTCCTTATTACACTAGTTTTCATTCCTTTAAGACAAAACCTGGGTTAAGATAAAATTGTCTTACAAGTACAGATTCCTTCTGTTTTAACAAGAAGTCGTTAGCAACTTCACAATATGGAGCCAAAAATGCATCCTAAGTATAATTATAAACACATAAATCCCTGGGAGAGGAAATTTCCTGTGCGAATTATTCCTGTTTCCAGAACCAGGGAAAATAGTCTAAGTAATAATAAACAGACAGGATTGAGTAAAGAAGGCCTCTTGTGCGTGGTTGAGTTAGGAAGCAAGTCCACTCTTAACTGTCCATTAACCATTAGCTCTTCCCTTAACCTGGCTCTGCCCCCTCAAGCAAGTCAGCCAGGCTCTCTGGGCCCACCTCGCCCACTTTAACCAGGGGCTCCTCCTCGCTGTTGTGGTGCCGGCACCCTAAAATAATTAGGGTTTTGCTGGTTGGTTCAACTTATGAATATTACACGTCCCCTGATGGATCTGCCTTTGTGTAAGAGTTGCAGCCTTTTCCTGGGCCGCTTCTGAAAGTGCTATGCCAGGAGGATCCGCCTAGCTGCCGAAAGCCAAGCCAAGCCGAAATCCTGACGGCTCAGCGGAATGAGCATCCACCAGGCACAGCACCCTCGGGCCAACAGTGTAGAAGTAGGTCCTGCCCGAAGGCCAGACGGCGCTGATGTTTCCCTGAGCAGCTGGTCTGGTGTCCCTGTGGCCCTTCTTGAAACTGGTCAGCTACATGTAGGGCTTCTCTCTTTCCTTGGTGATTTTCTGTTCACATAGAAGTTTTGCTAGTGAGTTTTATCAAGGATATGTTGAAGGTGTAAATTTTTTTAAAAATGAGAAACCTGAACTAAAACAGCATTTTTGATGCAATAATAAGTTTCTCTTGGCCAAGGAATAGCCATGATCAGGTCCTGTCTATTTTTTTGGAAATTTTGGGTTAAAGGTGACATATATACAACAAAATACACAAATTGTAATATGCACGGCTTCATCAATGTTCACAAAGTAAATAGGTCCCTGAAACTGCATTCAGATCAGGGAGCTAGCAGAGCGTTACACCCCCTTGCGCCCCTCCCCCCAGAATCCTTCTTTGCCCTCCCTTCCCCCAAAGGTGGCCACCCAGTCTGGCTTTTGAGACCAGAGCTGATTTTGCCTATTTTCAAACACTTATATAAATGGCATCATTTGGTGTGAAATCATATACACTTAGCCAGGATCAACCCAGGGAGGGGAAAGAAGTAGGGAACAAAGGAATTATTTTACTAGAGATGAACCCCTCTAGTAAATTGGACATGCCCTCTTTTAAATTGTATCAAAGTACTGGAATGTTTTAACCCCCAGAAGACAATTGGAAAAATTGATGGCATAAATATTTAGATATAGGGATTTAGAGCAAATTAAGCTAATTAGACAAAGCATATTATCTAAGGCAAAATTTCCTAAGTTTGATAATGCTCATCTTTCACATTTTACTTATAGATGCTGAGCATGCAAATAGAGAGAGCTGACCGTGTTTCTTTAATATGCCATACTCATGCAAACCAGGAGTCAAAACTCTTTACTCCTGTCATTTGGCTGCAAATTAATATATACAGAGTGGCTGCAAGCATTCATATGATGGTACGACAAAGCCTTACTTCTCCAGCTACCATGCTCAAATATCCACAGAATGGCCCCCAATCCAGAATTTAGTAAAAAATAAATAAAAGATCTACATTAATCAGTGTAGATGAGTGCTCTAGTGTCCATTTATGGAAGCCCCAGAACAGCAGAGCCATACTCCGAAAATATCTGCTCTTACTTTATATACAGTGCTAAAAGATGGTCATTGGTTCCCTGGCCCGAAGTTCTAAATGCCAAAACCCGAAGGGAGGTGGCCAGAGAAAACCATTGGAGAGCAGAAAGAATGAAAAGCAAAGAAACAGACAAGCAAACCACAAAAAATAGAATGAGCCCACTTGGAACACACAGTTTGGGTCCAGCTAGTATTGGGGCAAATAGCACCATTCGCCCCACGATCTCTGAATGCTTGGCAGGCAGTCAGGAGAAAGGCTCGCTGTTTTTAACAAAGACAGTCAAGCATCGAGGAAAAGTTCATTTGAGTTCACTTGGCTTTCATAGGACAGAGCATTATGCAACCCGTTTTAGAAAAAGTCTCATCAAAACAGACAAAGAAATCAGTCCAAAAGCTTTGGTAACATGTTAAAAAGGATAAATTACTTATCTGGAAAATTCGCTTGGCTGGAACGTGATGTTTATCTAAGTTCCTGGGTAAATGTGATGCGACTGTTACAGCTTTTGCCCACTAACTCGCTTTTGTCCATCGGTTCCCCTTTAGAAACAGTATTATGAGTTCTCTTGTGTCACCTTTTTATTACTGAGTCCATAATTTGCAGCCAAAATGACAAGTGCTTAAAAAACAATGCAGACAGACGTGACGTGATCACTCACTTCTTCTTTCCCTGCCTTCCCTCAGATGACGAAGTGATAGGAGTCAGTGTCAGTGTTCGAGACCGGGAAGATGTCGTCCAAGTCTGGAATGTAAACGCGTCTGTAGTGGGCGAAGCGACCGTTTTAGAAAAGATCTATGAACTTCTGCCCCACATATCTTTTAAAGCAGTATTTTATAAACGTAAGTGCTTCATTTTCAGTTATTACTTCCTAGCTTGTTCCGTCATACTTGTAAAGATAGAGACTGTGTTGCCAACGAGGCAGAGGCAGAATCACTCAAAATTCTATAATCCAGAAAATGATTCGATAAAATACGTGTGTTTAAAAAAAGCAGTGTAGTCTCAGAAATTAAAATGAGATTTTATCATCACCTAAACACACGAATCAGAAAAGGTGATACATATCGTATCTGTTATTTCAGAAATTTAGACCTGATCTTAAATTTGTCATTCTCAGGAAAAAAATTACCTTCTATTTGGAGCAACAATAACAAAAATGTTATTATATGAGCTGGCAGGTAGATATTCAATCATCCCTTCATAAACAGGAATTTATAATGTATAACATCTGTATTTGTGGAGGAGCTTGTTCCGAGCACAGAGGTGATTGAATGTTCTACTGAAATGCTGATACTTCCTCATTACGGAAGACTGTGACACAGAACGAAAGAGAATTCACGCACAGTGGTGAAATGTTAACAGTATGAATAGGTGTGTGGACCCATTGTTTCCATCATGATTCATGTTCATTGCTTTTGTGTGCTCTTTTGAAAAAGTCATCTTTTTCACAATGAAAACAGCCTAGTTCTTGTTAAACCAATGTTTGGTAGATCAAACCGCAGGTTACACTTTTAACAATGAGTTAGAGAAAAGTAGTGACAGCCCTACACATACAAATGGTAGATTCCTATTTCCCAAACTATTCCAAGAGTCAATAACCCAATTTTTTAATTGGTATTTATGGTATTTCATTGACTCTCAGATACCCTTGATGATAAGGATCACTTTACTATTACTAAGAAGGAAAAATAAAAGGCTCCCAATAAAATAATGACATAGTATTGATTCCAGGGGTCTTAAAATGTGGGGTGAGGAGTGGGGAGTGCATCTCAGTCTTGCTGAAATACACTCCCTTCCTGTTTCCCAACCCCTTACCAAAAACGAGAAAAAAATCAGATATTCTTTGAGGATTGTCTTAGTATGATAGAGGTTATTAAAATGAAGACTTCCCTCGAAGGAATCATACGTTCACAGGCCAAATGATTTAGATTTTAAGCAAAAGGACTGATCTGTTCCTGCCAGTAATTCAGTAGGTGCTTAGCTTCTGAATTTTAAATGAAAGTTTAAATAAAAGAGACAGAAAGATGGCCCTGCAGAGGTTGATTCTTGGCTATTCAGCATGGAAATTGCACATTTGTCGATGCAATTTTCAGTCCTTAGGGAATATTAATTGTATTTTCAACCCAGATAATAATTGAAAGGTCACCAGGGGTCTTTTCTTGTTTTTCTCCCTCACAAGACTAACTCTCTGGAAAAAAGTGTGTTCCATGGCCACTTATGAATGGGGCTACAACGTTCTTTACCACCTTTGAACCAATTCCACACTTGCCTCAGAAGAGTTGAAGAAGCAGTTTGCAATCCTTAAGTCAGGCACTCTGAATTTTCGTCCCCCTTCAATGGTGTGACCTTGAGCAAGTCACACCTTCCCATCTTCTCACTTTCTCACCAAAATATCGAGGAGGTTCGTCTTAAATGATCTCCAAGGTTCCTTCTACTTCAAAATTCTCTCATTAAATTTCCAAGTAACACGGTTAGCAGGTCCAAGATGATAGGAGTATTTCATTAGAAAATTAAGCCACAGAGTGGTTAGGCTAGTTTTTAGAGCAGTGGTAATAATCAGGTAAGACTGAAGAAGGATGAGTCACAGCTTAGTTGTGATGGCTTGAGGGGCGGGGGAGCGGAAGCCGAATCGGGAGGGAGAGTTGCAGCCCGGCCAGTTGAATCAAGCTGAATAGATGCCCTAAAGATAGATGCCATTGGGAAGTTTGTGAGTAATGCAGAACTGGCTAGGGTCTCTGTAGAAATCCATATTTTAATGGCATAAATTAACATTTAAAGACTCAAAGATTATTCAAATAAAACTCTGAATTGGAAAAAACAAGCAATTCTCTTTATTTTATGTAAAGCAGGCAGTCCTTTACTCGGTAGGGTTATTACGTACCACGTGCTACAGAATTGATTTGGAAAAATGAGGTCTGGGCAGAAATCTTATTCACAGCATGATGGAGAGCAGTCGTAGGGTGAGCTGAGTTAGAAATGGCCAACTCTCTGCTTTTATTCTGTCTTGTTAATAGGACCCTGGTGTAACTATTCACAAGTGTACAGAAGCCAGGTGACATGGCGGGTTTTCCTTGTAGAAAGAGCCCAGGCATATCTGGTCAAGACCTCCGGCAGGGGAGGTGAGAACTGGGCTATTGTTAAGTCGTACATGATTTGGATACAGAATAATTCTTTGACTGAGAAACTCACGGTGCACAGAGACCCTTCCCCCACCCACCCCTGCCTCACCTCCCACCCCAGTTCGACCCTCTCCCCACACCAGTTCGGTTAGGTTCTTTAGGGCAGATGAATGACATCTGTTTGATGTAAGAATTATTTAGAGCAGAGGTTGGCAAACTATGAACCTTATGCCAAATCTGCCCCCCTCCCTGCCTCCTTTTTTGTAAGGGCTGCAGCTAAGAATGGTTTTCACATTTTTACATGGTTGGAAAAAATTAAAAGAAAAACGACATTCTGTAACACAAGAAAACTGCATGAAATTCAAATTGCGGTGTCCGTATATATAGATGGAGTGTACTGGCACCTCGAAGGGCCCGTTTGTGCACATGTCTGTGGCTGCTCCAGTGTTAGCCGTGGCACAGTCAGCCAGTGGGACAGACACCGGATGGCCTGCAGAGCATAAATTGTGTATATTCTCTGCCCCTTTCCGCAACAAATTTTCTGACTCCTGATTTCAAGAATTCTATAGTCTCTTTCCACCAAGGCTAACTTCAGGCTGAAAGAACTTGAGTCTCACAGAACTCACCTAGTTCTGAATGCTCCATTCTGCTATCTCCATAGCCCATCACAATTGTATCATTTCCGTATCTCAGCTATACCCACCCCAGTGCTGTCCCTCCCACTCGGTGGAGTCAGAATCTCCAGACAGTCAGTAGCCCTTGATTTGTCACTTGGAGCCCAGCATCCCTAGGAGGTGTTGGCTTCTTCACTTGAACCAGCATCACTGTATATTTTAGCGCAAAACAGACCCTGTTTGCTTCGGTACCGGCCCTTAAACTCTGTTTTAAAAAGAAAAAAAAAAAATCACAAAAAGTGAACTATTTGTAAAGATTTACATGTGAGAAGTATTCAGTTAAGTCATTTCCAGTTGGAGGCTCTCATTAGGAATTTGGCCAACCCACAGTAACCTGGGGAGCTATAAGCGTGCTGGCCCCGCAAGGTTTTATCCGAAGAACAGGTTGGTGTAAACATCCATGATGGTCCTGAAGGGAGAATGGTCCCTTTGCCGACCCTGTCACCCCTTTAGACACTAGTCTGAAGAATTGAGTCTGTACCTAAAACAAAGAATTGGGAGGGGCTTAACAGGGGAAATGGGCCAGCTCACCATTCACTGCCCGTGGGGGTAGGGGTGGGGGAACCAGAAGACAAAGCACAGAGAATTCTGTGTTGCCTTTGGTTTATTAGATCTAAGCCACAGTGGCTTTTCCCCTTGAGAGAAGAGGACCTGCCCTTGCTTTATGATGATGGTTAACCGGAATCAGGAAGTGGATTTCCACCCTTGGCCCTTTTTGCCTTGGACAAGATGTTTTGAGTTTCATGAATGTCTCATTTCTGACTTCTCCTTTACAAAATAGTTATGTCTTTGGAAAAATACTTCAGGCCGCACAATTTTTTATTCTAGAGTTCCTACTTGTAATTAGTGATTTCATAAGCCAGGCAATAGGACTGGGGGGAAGATTTTTTTAAAAATTAAAAAAAAAAAAAAACATGATTGGAAAAAATAAAAGACCCATCAGTTTTATGAAACTTCATTTCCCACAGAGGGTGCTCAGAGGTGGGGGGGACGTAAAACGATTGCTACCCACTTGTGTTGTTCTTTGTTTTGCTTTATTTTTGTTTTATTTTATTTCTAAAGATAGGTCTGTGAAGGGCCCTGGCGTGGATAAGATGGGGTCCCCCACTCCACGCATTCCATGGGGCACATTTTCCCCTGTAGCATGGGAGGCCCTGTGAATTTCTCTTCATCAGCTCGTGGGGATTACTCATTCTCTCGGCACAGCAAGAAGAAACAGGCAGCATGCCCATTGCTTGTTTATTCCTTGTTTTAATTTTCATTATTACGTTTCTCAGGAAATGCACGCCTTAGCTAACAGTTACTGGCACAAAAAGGTATTTGCATTCTTGCCAACATTTGGGGAAACTGAATGAGATGCCTTAGAGAAGGGTTGCCCCATCCTTTGCTTAAAGTTTTCTTTCCTTTTTTTCTTTTTTGTTTTTTTCTGTCCTTTAGCCCATGAAGAGCATCATGCTTTTGAAGGTGGACGTGGAAAACACTAATTGCACTCTGTAAAGAATTCTTTGTCCTTTGCTGATTGGTTTTGGAAACGGTCTTAACAGGAGGGAGAGTGAAGAGAAGACTTGCCGAAGCCCGATGCTGGTTCATTTAGAGTGGGTTTCTGCCCTTGCAGATTGGGCAATTAGGGCTCAAAGTGGCAGGTGGGGTGGGGGGAGACTGTGTGGGTTTCTACCGTCACATTATCTGCTTTTTTTTTTTTTTTTTTTTTTGCTTTTAAAATTCTCTGTTCTTTTCACTCTGGGCTTTTTTTTTTTTTGTCCTTTTAAATTTCCTTATTCAGACTAATTATTGTTTTCTACACTCCCCTTTCATTGAGGCACAAGAAATCGGTTTCCCTTTAAGTAGCTCTGCTGTACCTAGTTAATGAGAATATGCATAATCGTGACAATACTGCTTTTGAAAACCACACTGTACTTGGAGGAATACTAGCTTGGTGAGACCTGTCTTGATTATTTGTTGTGACACATTCCTACACACTGTGCCCTGGGCATTGTTTTTCTTCTGTCCCAGGAAAGAGAAAAACCATACTTAATCTGATTTTGCACTGACAGCACACACATCTTTTTCTTTTTCTTTTTTTTTTTAACTTTTTTGTTTTTCTTATCAATAAAAGGAAAATAATAGTTGGGTTGCCTAACATGAAAACTTAGCATCACAGTTGAGTATCAGGCTATAAATCACACTCTAGGTCTTCAGGCCCTCTGTGGAAGTATTTCTAACCAGAATTTCAATTCGGCCATTTCAAAGAATAGGCATAGTGTGGTAGCAAGGGTTTTCTCCTGGTAGGAAACCTTGTATTTCTGATTTAAAGAGGAAGTGATATTTTAATTGTTTGAATTAAAGCTGCTTCTGAATTTGGGGTATGTGTACCCGCCCACTTAGGGCTTTCCAAATCCATTTGAAAACACTTTGGTCAGTTATCCCTTTTTCCTGCTCACACTGTATGTCATTTCCAAGAATGAATAGTCCTCCGGCCTGGGCAGCTGTCTCCTGCCTTTTTCCTTTAGGGGCAGCAAGGCAGGTCTCATTTCCAGGAGGAATGTGGACATTGACGAAGTGGAACTCTGAGTGCATTCTGTTGATAACTTATTTTTGGAATCGCTGATATATATTGTATTATGTTACCAAAGAAGTACTGCTTTTAGTAGAAGGAAATGGCCGCACTCCGGAACCCTGAGACTCTTTCTCAAAAATGTGCCCCTTCCCCTCTCTTGACTCCGCCAAGCCTCCTACTGCTCTCACCTGAGCGAGGGGGGCCTCGGAAGATGCTTGCTCCTGCTGGCTTTTTCTGGAGTCCCGGAAGCCGGTGCGTGCTTACACATTTCACAGAAGGGCCCAGGCCTCACAACTTCTCCCCAGGATCTTTAACCCCTCTTTCAGTATTGACCAGCAGAGAGAGGTGGGGCTACTTCAAGCCTCCAACCTGTGTCTGTAAATAAAATTCTCCGTTCAGAAACGTAAAAAAAAAAATCCCGCAATATCTGCTTACAAAAGTTGTGCCCTTTACATTGCATCGCTAACCGCATCAACCATGATCACAGCGACTGTAGTTTTAAAATGACCCTTTGTTTCTAAACTGACTTTCTTCAGTGGTTTCGGGATGAGTTCTAAGGATATCAGACCCATTTTTCAAAAGCCTGGAACGTGCTTCTCTACACATTGTATTGACATCCAGCTTCTTTTTAGATTATTCGCTCAAGGATTTAAAAAAAAATTATTCTGAACCTGAATTTAAATTCTTTTTTATAATATAAATATTTTTCTGATAGATTAGGAAAAAGGATGAGTGACCTGTCTTCATTATAAGTGTCATATATATTTCCATAAGTAAATGGATCTTGGATCATTTTTATTTTTTGAACTTTATTTAAAGCATTGTGATGACATGTTCAACTTCTGCATGTATGTAGCCTTTGAAGAAAAATTAAATAAAATAAATAGGAATGTTAGGCTCATACTCATGTTTTCTAGTTTCTGTTGTTTATAATCACGGCATATGGGTTAACACACAAAGTTCATTTTTGTCCCAGAGAACTTCTGCACCTATTTCTGACCCTGCGGAAAATACCAGCTGTGAGAAGGATTTAATTTGCCAAATGTTAAGAACCTATTATCTAAATTACTTTAAGAGTGGATTTTTGTCAGATTTTGCTTTAGAAATTGTTTTAATTGAATATGTAGTTCCTAATAGACTTTGTATGAACTAAGCTGATTTAATCAGTCTGAAAACCTCTCATTACCTTCTTGGATTAAGGAAGCTAATACTCTTTGGAGATACAAGAAAATGCCTCGCGGGGCATGTGACTTCTGTTTGGGGCAGTGGGCCCACGCTGGGGGAAGTGTCAGTCGGGTCCTTACAGATGCGGCCTGCTCTCTGCGGAGAGTCACGTGGAAGTCACAGCGCTGACTTGCTCACTTTTGTCATCCCTTAGCCCTGAGTGCAGATCCGTCGTCTCTGATGGAAACCAGTGTGCATTTTTCTTCTCCTACTATCCCACACCAGATTGTTAGGTTGCAGTCACTTGCCTCCAATGGGGAAAGTACACCCATTTAATAAGGACGGATAATGCCAACTTAAAGGAACTTGTCTACATCTCCCCTTTTCTTCTGTAAGCACTTCCCGACGCGTTGATTTACCCCATTTAAACATTCCCTGCCCGACTTCTCCACATTTTCTGAAACTAGGAGATAGTTTACAGCGAACAGATACATTTCATATAATGTGGCTATTAAATCCATGGTAAAATAGAGCGAAAAACACGAAAAGAAAAACACAACTCCAGTAAACTTTAAATAGTCTACCTTGATTCCTTCTCAACTTTCTTCTGAACTTTAGCTCATGCCTGCATATACACAGTCACAAGCCTTGATAGTTGAACGAAACTTGGCGTATCACTGAGTAGTAGACACAATGTACAGAGTCTAACAGTCTTGACCGAACCTGTCCCTTGTGAAAGGACATGGGGTAGCAAGCGACAGAGCTGGGCATTAAAGTCTGTAGGCTACAGTCCAAGCTTCCTGGACGTGAGAACACTCAAAAGTCTGTCAACCTAACGACAAAGCAGCTCACCTCGATCAAGCACACTGTATCTAATCTAATCTGGCCATCCAGATGCCTGGACATGATCAGATGTCCGCGTTATAAACAGTTCTCATTTTCTCTCTCTGACTTGCAGTGACTAAAGCCATGCTGCAGGCTGGTATTTGCAAATAACCTTATTGTGACAGGAGGTGGCACTCGCCATGAGAAGCCCAGCTCATAGAGGGTCCCATCTCTTGTACTTGAACAAAAGTGACAACATTTGGAGCGATCACATGGTGGCGCTGCCTTCCAGCCAACAGTTCTGGCTCAGCCGTATAATTTATCCAGTTAGGTTTGTGTAATTATTTTAAGATTTGAGTGCATTTTGCTCTTCTGATTTTATAAAAACTTGATTAGATATTACTCATAAAAGTTCAGCTCTCCTATACCTCGTAAAAAAACGTGTACAAGATGCAATTCTCTGGACATGCTTTAAAAAGCTCAAATCTTAGGCTCTCCATGGGCCTCTAAGCAGTCACAAAGAGAAAGAACGAAATAAACTAACATATAGGAAATACCAGAAATATGTCATCAAATATTATGGCCGAGGGAGAAGTAAAATTAGGGTTTGATTTTTGTTTTTATTTTTTTAGGGCTTTCTAAATATGGAACTCCCCTTTAAAAATGGACGTCTGCTGTTCACCTCTCCTGTACTGTATGTTTCTGTAAGATTTCACTCATTGCAAAGGAAAGTAGAGGACTGCCTGTAGGTAGTTTATTTTTGAAAAGAGTATATACAGACCAATTAAAAATTTGAGTTTGGCGACTCGGGATTGTAAGAGCCTGGATCATTGCCTTACCAGCTGAGAGGGGTCGGAAGGTGGAGAGGAAAAAGATGGAGACAGAGATGCAGTGAAGAGCCCTTTGAACCTATGATCCTGCGTGGCATTTAGAGTGTGTTCTCACACTCGTGCTCTCATGCAGAAGAGAGCTCACGTAGGTTCTTTACACATCCAATTATGCTGTTCGGTTTCTGTTTTCTATATGCATCCAGATCCGCGAGCGCTTCTTACTTAGGTTAGCTCATTCAGGCCAAAAGTCCCTTCCTCTTGTGTTGTAGAGATACTCTCATCTTGCTGATGCTACTCCGTTTTTTAAAAGAAAACTCACAAGAGTTTTTGAATTTTAGAGTGGAAGGGACCTTCGAGATCATCTACCAGCCCTTTTCGCCCCTTAGCATGCAGAAGAACCTCAGGGCGCTTACTCAATACCCACATTTCTTGGCCCCAACCCTAGAGGTTCTGATTCCGTAGGTTCGGAAGGCCTACGTATCTGCCTTTTTAGCAAAAGCCCCAGTAATTCTAATGTAGGTGGCCCTCAGACCTGACTCTGAGAACCCCTGTTCATATCCAGCAACCCAGTGACAAATGAGGAAAGCATCCTCCTCCCCCCAAGCTCTCAGGTGACCTGATTGGAATGCATAATACCAACAACCCCAGGAAGGTTGGAGAAAACCATTATCAGGAAGACTTGAGAAAATGATGCTCGTAAATAAAAGCTTTATGGCTAGGACCACAGCAATAATATGTAGCCTGTCTCTGGGAGTCCAGGTATAAAATCTTTAATACAGAGTGGTGGCTTTTCTCTTTTCTAAATACCATTTCAGCATGTTAAGAGAAAAGAAATTAATGTTCAGAAGAAGTAGTTACTCCGTATGTGCAGTAACTACTTTTCTATAATATCTTATGGCATCTGGGTTCAGCATCATTGAACAAGATTAAATGAATGTTATAGAGCTATAAAATTGCATGTAAAATAACGCAAAACTGTTCAAATGGCTATCAAAGTAGCCTGGGAATGAATTTCCACTAAAATTGTCAGTCCTAGACGTAGCTTAGAAGTTGTTGCTGAAGTGGAGGGATTCTTTAATACAAAGAAGTATCCAAAAACTCAAGTAAGTATGCCCTCAACCATGTGAATGATAAACAAAAATCATTGTGAAGTCAATATTTTTTTGTTCATCATTGCTGCTAAAATTTAGACTCCCATTGTATATGTGTGTGTCGAATGTACCAACTAGAATATCCAACAAAAGAGCCTTTTGGATATTCTATGCTTTTCGTGTCCTTCAGAAATCATGAGGTTGGAGAAGTCAATGTTCAATGTTTGAGTTGCTGCCTT